TTTTTCAATGTTCATTCTGTAGATCCACTGATGATGACATAAAATCCTATGTCGAAACGTTTGGAAAAAAATTAAAGATTAACTTCTAAATCTTTGCCTTTTATTTGATGTATGCCCTTGAAGAACTTACTCATATATAAATATATATATATATATATATATATATATATATATATATATTTAGGGTGGCCCTTAAAAGGGGTCATTTTCGAATTTCTTTGCTCCCCAGGGGCTCAAATGGTTCCAAATAGATAAAAAAACAATTCTCTGAAAGTTTTAGCTCTTAATATTAACGTTTAGATAGAGCGCAATTCAATCAAAGTTTGTATGGGAAGAGCATGAAAAAAATTTTGAAAATTAAAAAAAAATGTTTTAGGTATAACTTAGCGACAAATGAATTAGTTTTATTCATTCATTTGTTCGCTAAATTACATTTACAAAACATTTTTAAAATTTTTGAAAATTTTTCCATGCTATTTCCATACAAAACTTTGATTGAATTGCGCTCTATCTAAATGTTAATATTAAGAGCTAAAACTTTCAGAGAATTGTTTTTTATCGATTTGGAATCATTTGAGCCCCTGGGAGCAAGGGCATTCGAAAATGACCCTTTTAAGGACCACCCTAATATATATATATATATATATGATATCAATAGATATCATAGATATATATTATATCAATTACTATGTGTATATTATTATTACCAAGGAGGCTGATGCTTAAACTCTCATTTTTAGCAAGTTTATTAGAAATCGTACAAGACAAGAAGAAGTTATAAGGCCAAGCAGCTTCCAATTTTTCCAAAGGACTTCTTTTATTTAATTCAGAAGCATTTCTATCTCTCTGAGTTATATCTCTTAGCAAAGTTATCTGTGCCAATATTATATCATAGCGTGCTCGAAGGTATATTGGAATGTTTATTTTATTTGTGTCTTGATAATCTCTTATTATAGTGTCCACTAAAAGATTAAGGATTGACATCAAAATTAAGGATATGTAACAAAGTTATAAATATCATCATTGAATTAAATCTAATGAAAGTAAATTTTTTAATACTTACAATGACTATGTCTGTACTCTTCGAGATGCTGAGGATCAATACTGCCACACAATTCCCCCAACTTGCACTCTCTTCTATTCAAATATAATGATAGACCTACAAAAAATTGCATATATAATGCAGGTGAATAATATAAATAAAATAAAATAACGTTACCTTCTATCATTTTCGTCAACGTTTCAGGAGAAATATCCATTTTGATAATTAACAACAACGGTAACAATTAGTAAATAACAACAAAAATTTTAAAACTGATTCAAATAAAATGTCGTCATGCGGATTTAAAATGATTAAACACTAACATAATAATATCACAGTATTATCTATCACTTATCGTTATCTATATTTAATAAAGCATAACGATAACAATGCAAACTTATCTACTAAATGAGATTTTGCAAATAAATTACAAAAAATCTCAAAGCCAATAACAATGATAACACATTATAGGTTATGTTTGACAGAAGGCTGTTAACACTTGAAGTTAGCAACTGTCAAAAATTTGAAATTTAATTTTTAATAATTTAAATAGTTTTGAATTTATTTAAATAAATAAATAAGTAAAGAGATATTAAATTTGATAAATAGTAGATAATAGTGTAAATAATTCAAATTTATATAAAATGTATTTAGTCGTCAAGCAGTTTTAATTTTTTTAAAGATTCACAGTACTGTCTATCACTTATTACTTATAATAAATTAATTATAATAATTATTATTATTAATAATTGATAATAATAACGGTGAAATTTTATTAGTAGATGGCATTTTTTAATCAAAATTTATAATTTTACAACATTAATTTGAAATTTCAAGTTATGTTTGACAGTTGACACTTAACACCTGAAGTTAGCAACTGTCAAAAATTTAAAATTTAACTTTTAATAATTTAAATTTAAAATGTATTTATTTAAATACACTGTTTTATAAGAAATTTTAATATCATAATATTAAATTAAATAAATTGTAAATAATAATGAAAATAATTTAGGTTTATATAAAATATTTCTATTCATTATTCAATTTTAAAATTTTCAAAGATTTACATATTACAAAAATGTTTACCACTTATTATTTTTTATAACTAATTGAGAATAGTGAACATTTATTTATTACATAACATTTTTTTATCTAAATTTATAATTTTATATCATTTATTTGAAATTTCTGGTTATGTTTGACAGTTGACAGTTAACAGCCTTTGACAATATAATAAAAATGGCGACAGCTGTCAAAAATTAAAGTATGGCATTTTACTAAGAAAGAATATTTATCTATTTGTTTAAATACGTAGTGAGAACAGAAATTTAATAAAAGTTCATTTTCAAAATGACATTTTTCAATTAAATAAATAATTTGCAAGAAATTTGCATTTATAATTTACTTTTTCGTAAACTTTTGGAGGTTATGTTTGGCTTTTGACGTTTGACAGGTTAATATATACAAACAATATAAACGCTTAGCATTTTAATTAAAATATTCGTGTAAATGTTTAAGTATTTACTTAAAAACCTAGTTTTACAAGGATTTTAATTTATGCCAAGTAGTAATTTTATATATAGAAATATTATTTTCTTTTAAACATGTCAGAATATGATAAAGTTAGGAAAGGCAAGCTTGTGCTGAAGGGTGAGAAATCTAAGTAAGTACTTCAAATTCATTCAATATATATATATATATATATATATATATATATATATTTGTTATTACCTTTTCCATATGTCTCTTACCCCCCAGGTCCAAGAAACGCAAGCACTCCAAAACCAAAGAAAAGATAACAGTTATCCGTGAAGACCCAGATGCCATCAGCCACGGTGGCTGGTGGAAAACCAGCGTAATAACCGAGATAACCGGCAACGTAGCCCTTGAATTCGGCAAACAAACCTACATGAAAGCCCTAGACAACGGTCTGTTTACTCTAGGAGCCCCCCACGACGAGGGCGACCCTCCAGAACCCGAAGAAATCTTCACAGCAATCACCATAAATGAAAATAAAATAGCCTTAAAATCAGGCTATGGTAAATACTTATCTGTGGATAAAAATGGTATAGTTATCGGTCGATCTGATGCAGTGGGTGCAATGGAGCAGTTTGAGCCTATTTTCGAAGACGGTAAAACTGCTCTGTTGGGGCCCAGGAATAACTTTGTTGCTGTTGATCCTGAAGACGATGCTATCGTTGCTTTGAGCAAGAAGGCTAGTGCTGATGAGTACGTTGTTATAAGGACTATGAACGAGAGGGAGAATGAGGAGCAGATTGAGGTGCCGAGTGAGGAGAAAGGAAATTTGAAGGAGGTGGAACTGAATTATGTGTAAGTAAATGAATTATATATATATATATATATATATATATATATACAGCAATATTTTTTTCCTTTTATAGGAAAAAATTCCAAAAATTCCAAGACAAGAAAATCAAAATCAGCTCCGAGGACAAAAAGGAATTAAAGAAAGCCAAAAAGGAAGGAATACTACACGAAACAATGCTGGATCGCCGGAGCAAAATGAAAGCAGATCGATATTGTAAATAAATTTAAATTAAAAAAAAAACCTTGACTTGACTTGAGTATATATTATCATTGGACGGATTAATTTTAACACAACATTAATAAAGTCATATGAAACTAAAAATACACCTATTAATAATAAAACTTACAGATAAACATGTAAAAAATATACAATAATAAAAGACTCACTCTTATTACTACCATCAATCTTTTACTGCTTCCAATTCAGACAAATATGGCTCGAATTCGAATCCTTCGTACAGCATGAAACTGAAATGCGGAATTATAAGAAGTGACTCCAATTCTTGGGCGATTTGGGAGAATGTGGGCCTTTCGTCTGGGTCCAGTTGCCAGCAATTTAGGGCGTGCTGGTAAAGCTCATCGTTCATATATACAAGTTGAGGGGGTCGTAGGCCTCTTGAGACTTTGTTTACTATGTCTGCACTTTCTATATTAGCATAGGGCGTGCCCCCTGGAATAAAGGATATATATATATATATATATATATATATACACCTAAGTCTGTTTTTACACGGAGATTGGTTCCAGAAGAAGCCGTGTAAAAAAAAAACGTGTAAAAAAGATATTGATCTTATACAAAAATGGGTGATTTGTCCTACTCTCTAAAACCTATTAAAATTAGTGAAAAACAAGAATTTTCAAGAACAAGAATTCATGTTTATTTTAATAATAATTCCCCTAAATTAGCGCTATTCACATTTGCTTTGACCAGTAAAAATTGTTCGTACGCGCTAAAGGAAAAGGAATTCACTTAAATCTTTAAGCTAGTGTTTGCAAACTATCGATACTATCGATGGTTTCAGACTTTTTTCTTTCATAAATACTTTTTTGTGATATGAACATACTTCGCAAAAATTTAATTTGACAAAAAAAATTTAGGTACATAAAATTTCAAATCGTGCTAAATGGAATAAATTCGTGTAAAAAATTTAAAAATATTCAATTTTCAAACCGTGTACAAAAAGACCGTGCAAAAACAGACTTAGGTGTATATATATATATATATATATATATATATATATATATATATATATATATATATATATATATATATATATATATATATATATATATATTAAACAAATTACAAACAAATAACATGTCTCAATGAAACGAGTTTTTTTAAATCTTTTAGTTTATCTTAGTTTTATATTTTTTGTTTAATATTTATTAAAAAATTATTGTCATATAACTTGTTGTTATATTAATTAGTGCACCATAATTTTTGTTTTTCTTTTAATTATATATATATATATATATATATATACTAGTTGGCCCGGCATACATTGTTTAGCCACAAAAAATATTTGTAGAATTTTTTTACATTTTACTGACAAGCGAAATGAAACAAAAAAGGGTCTCCATAAAAAAGGACTCTACTGACATGGAATGTTTATATATAAGATAATATTTATATCTACTTACCCAAAGCGCAGCATTCCCAAAGAACACATCCAAAAGACCAAATATCACTCTTTTCCGAATATCGTTGAGACCTCAAGACCTCCTGGGCAGTCCATCTTCTATAATCAGGTTTAGAATTCTGGTTAGCCCTACAATCGGCCAAACCAAAACCCGAAACTTTGGCGACACCATTACCAGAGAGCTTGATGTTCCGACAACATAATTGCTTGTGATAAATCTATAAAAGAAATAGAAATTAAGTAGAAATTATTGAAGTAAAACTTCTTTAGGCACTACTAGGGTGCATGCAACGGAAATAGCGTTACGCCCGAACTGTACGTCATTCGCTCTCGATGATATCATTTCAATACGGGTCGATTGTGATTAGTCGTGTCGAGTGAATAGAGATCTGTCGTTGTATGCGTACCAATATCGACAAGAAAATCGGCATAGATAAATAAACATTTTAAAGTTACATCGTAGTACGATTCTTGATTTAATAAAAAATGCACGAATCAGAAGAATATTTCACCCTGTCCCTTGAAAATAATAAAACAAATTCAACATTTGTGCCGTGTAATAAACGTAAGTTTATTGATTAGAAATTATTTCTTTATTATTCGTAGTTTCTATAAATCTTTGAAGTTATTAAAATGGAAAATAATTTTTAGGCAAGACAGAGATTATAGCTGTTCAAAGAATGAGATAAAAATCGCCAGCGAAAAAGTAAAAAAACACAAGCAGTCAATGAATGTATGTTAATTTTAATTACATGAAGTTCTTCAAACACTATGAATTACATGATGAGTGAAGTTGTGAAAACAATATTTGTTTAGGCGTTGTTTAACATAATCCACTTTGTGAATCGAATATTGTAGAATTTATTAATCAGCAATTACGTGATTTCTAAATGCTAATTACAATGACAAACCGATCATGTCATATTTGAAGTATGACTTTAATTACATTATTAACTTCGCGTAGGGTAAGTTAAAGTAATCGCAAAAAAATCGAAAATGAACATTTTTATATATCTTTACGTTTTAGAGGTTTCTGAACATTTTGGTATACCTTAGAAAAAATGAATGTGATACAAAATTACGTCGACGATTTCGGGAACACGGATCAAAAGATAAAAAAACATTTAGCGGTCAAAAATGTTCATTGGACATATGCACATCAAATTGTTAGATTTCGTATCAATTTTTTTTTGGGTTCCGTACCAAGCTTTTTAATATTAAAATTCACGTATTTGATTCAAACAAATGTCCTCGATATTTTCGACGGTATGGAATAAGAGATTTTAATAATTTAATTTGTCAATAATTGTACCGATTTGTCAATAATTTGTCAATTTTCATTCGGTTCGTGCACGATCGTGAGGCGTTTTTACAAGAGGCAATTTTGCCGTTTCGGAGATATTCAGCGCAAAGGGTGTAAAAAAACGGTTGTGCAGTTTTTGAAAGAACGGATCATCCAACTAAATTAAATCAAAAAAACGTTGTGATTGAGTAGTTGGTATGCAAAAAATGCTTTTACAGAAAATTTCGTAATTTTAAAAATTTTTCAAAAAAAACTCAAGGTTTTCAAAAAAATTTAAAGTTTCACAAAATTCAAATTTTCAAAATTTTTCATCATTTGCAAAAATAACTAAATATTGAAAAATTTCAAAAAATATCAAAATTAAAAAAAAAAACTATTTTTTACAAAAATTTGAGAATATTTCAAAATTTTTACAAAGTTTCAAATTCGTAGTTTCAAATTCTCAAAAAATTTAAGAAAGAAAGTTTTTTTAAACGAATTCCAAAAAATGTTAAACTTCTAAAAAAAATTATGAAAAAAAATCAAATTTAAAAATAAATTAACAAATTTCTTATAAGAGTTGTTTGTAGAATACGCGAATACTATATAAGTTGTATCTAAAATATGTTCAATTTTTCCAGACTTCAAATTTGACCAATGTAGATTGCTGGTAGATTTAAGCCTACATTAATTTCTACATGGTGCTCGTTGCCTAATTTTGAAAGCACTTGTAAGTATACAGTATGCATTTATAATAAATATTCTATTTAAAATTATTTAAAACAATTCACGTCGAAATTACGGTACGGGAAGTTCCAGAAATTTGCCTCAAGGCACGATGCCAGTCGCCCCACTAGTTTCTATATTATTCGTAGTTTCTATAAATCTTTGAAGTTATTAAAATGAAAAATATTTTTTAGGCAAGACAGACATTACAGCTAAGCAAGCAGTCAATTAATGAATGTTAATTTTAATTACATGAAGTTCTAATAATCGACTGTGTGAACAAATATTATAGAAGTTATTAATCATCAATTACTTCATTTCACTAATGAAGGTTAATTTCTAAATGCTAATTACAATGACAAACCGATCATGCCATATTTGAAGTACGACTTTAATTACATTATTGTTTCTAAATATTATACATATTTTTAATGCTATTATAAATATATAATTTATAAATTATCATCATATAAATGTGTATAATGGTCGACACTAATAAATGTGTGCACCACGAGTGTTACCATCATATTACAAATAAACATTATTCAAAATTGTTATACGATGTATTCATTTTTACTTAAATGCTATCTTGTATTATTTTATTACACTTACCGATTTGCTGGTCAAATATTCCATCCCCCAAGCAACGTCCACCGCAAATTGCAGAACCTGCGACTCCTTATAATTGCAGAAGGTTTGGTTTTTGGTATTTTTGTTCCTCGAAAGCAGCAGAGCATCTTTCAGAGTCAAAAGATGATGATAAAGGACTACTGCCAAGTGATCTGGAGTCTCACAAATTCCTATCAAACTATCAATGTTGGTATGAGATCCGAGACGGATTAAAAGATCCAGATCTCTTAGCATTGATCTTTTGTTAGACTGATCGAGTTCTCCATCTGGGATAAAGGATGGATTAAAAACTTAATAGCTAAACTTATTGTTATATCGAGTAAATCGTCCATGGTTTGTTAGTTAGTATTTTTCTATCACAGTGAGTTGGTTGTTAGTACAGGAGCTTTCTAAGGGTAGTTTTCAGTTTCACCATCTATGCACTGAACAGCAACATTGACTTCTTCACCGTCTCGTCTGAGGGATCCACTGACCACATTTCCAAAACGACCATAACCGATAACTGATGATTGGTTGTAGTTTAAGAAATTTCTGGGAATGTTCCATACTTGGTTTCTTAAACGAGAATGGTGATCTATTGGGGAATCTGGTTCGTCTTCGGGGATGTAACCATTGTTTTCCTAAAAAAAAAGGATACTTCAAGCCAGGAGCTCGCTTTGCGTCATAGGGGTAAGTTATAGTAATAGCCAAAGATCGAAAATGAAATTTTTTGCATATCTCACGTTTCAGAAGTTTCTGAACATTTTCGCATACCTCAGAAAAAATGTATGTCTGGGTGTATGTGTGTGTATGTATGTATGAATACAATTTTCGGGCGCAAGCACCAACCGATTAGAATGATTCAATCAACATTCGATTTCTACTAATAGGGAGATGTGCTGATTAGGTTTTGGCAAAGGCAGGTCCAGCCTTTACGGAGATACGAAGCAAAGAGTGCAGAAAATACAAATCGAGTTTTTGAGGGAACGGAATATCGGATTTGAATGATCTAAAAAACATTCAATTTGTAATGATTGGGAGAAGTGGTGATTAGTTTTTGGCAAAGACAGGTCCCGACATTTCGAAGATACAGAGCTAAATGTGCCAAAAATTGCAGTTTTTGAGAGAACTAAGTATCCTTGTGACGAAACAATTGCTTTTTTTATTTAAACTTTTTTAAAATTGATGAAGACTTATATAAAAAAAATTCTAACCTTGTGCAGCAAATCGATACTAACTTTTTGAAAAAGTTGCTGAAGAAATTAAAAAAACTCTACTCTACTGACGAGCAAACCAATTCTAGGGAAAAAGAAACTCTACTGACGAGCAAACTCGATTATAGTAAATTAGAATAGAACTCTACTGACAAGCAAATCAATCCTAGTTTTTACTATTTTTGTGCAGAAGCAAGAACTCTGGGAAAAAGAACTCTACTGACAAGCAAACTGATTCTAGGAAAAAGAACTCTACTGAAGAGCAAACTCGATTTCAGAAAAGTAAAATAAAACTCTGCTGACGAGCAAATCAAATCTAGTTTTGAAAAAATTGCTAAAATGATTTTAAAAAAATATAATCATCATTTTTTTCGGATCAGAAGCAAGGACTATAAGAAAAAGAACTCTACTGATGAGCAAACCATTATCAAGTTTTGTAAAAGTTGCTAATGATGAAAAAATTGCAATTATGAGAACCAAGGACTCTAGAAAAAGGAACTGTACCACCAGACAAAAATACGAAAAAGTTACTAAAGTAACTAAAACAAATTACAATTATTATTTTTGTGAGACTCAGCAGCAACGACTCTAGGGAAAAAACTCGATTTAGAAAAGTAATATAGAACTCTACTGATAAATAAATAATAAAATAATTAATGAATGAATGAGTAAATATAGAAGTATGAAATAATTATTCAAAGTTATAATTTAAATTATTAAAAAAAATTTAATAGTCATTTAAATTGCTGAATAAATTGGTAAGTAAATAAATAACTTGATAATTAAATTTATTAATGAATAAATGAACTATTTTTTACCATATCTTTTTTTAAAATTAATCAAATTTATTATAATTTATGCAAAATAAAACTTTATGCTTGAAGAGTTTCTACCTTATTTTATATATAAAACTGAATTAATAGTTTTATATAAAAATATATATATAATAATAATCTTTAAGTAAAAAGTTTTTTTTGCATAAATTATAATAAATTTGAATAATTTGAAAAAGATATATGGTAAAAATAGTTCATTTATTAGTTCAGAATGATAAAATTTCAAATAATAAATATAAAATGATATATTTAATTTAAAATTTAAAAATATCATATGAGTGAGAGCACAACTAGCTTTTTTTAAAAATTTTCAAACTTTAAGGAATTCAAAAATAACATATATGTAATGTAATGTAAATATGTAACCACTATGGTAGTAATATATTTATATCTCTATGTATATGTTTCACATATTTTTTCTCAGTAAAACTCTTGCAAAAATTATTTGCAAAAATCCTTGAAGCAACTACTAAATGACTACTAAAAAAGGAACTCTACTGACTTATAACATAATCCAAAATTTAGTTAGACATAAATTAATTTTAAAATTGTCTTCAATAAATTAATAGAATTCATTATTCTTTTTATTTAATTATTATCTCAATTATCTGGTATGGATGGATTTAAACTTAAAACAAAATTTAAGTGTTTATATTATATATTGTTTAATAATTTCTTACCACTTCGACAATCGGTCCTCTGAGTGCCAACTCCTGCTGATCACGTCGTCTTCTTTGAGGCAGTCTACGTCTTAAAACAATATATAATAACACAGAAAGAACTAGGAGTATTCCAAAAACTACTATTGCGGCTGTTAGGCCCATTATTAGAGATTGTTTGTCATTATCTGAAATAAAAACAAATATATATATATAAATGAATAAATTTGTAAATAATAAATTTATGGTAGAAATATATATATAAATGAAATTCATTAATAAATAAGTAAAACAAGTAAATAAATATATAAAAAAAATGATTGCATAAACAAACTACTATATATATATATATATATATATATATATATATACATATATATTTAAAATATATTTTAAATAATTATAATTATTATATTACCTGCTTCTGGTATATTAAAAATAATTTTGGCATGAGGTGTACTACTATATCTAATCCTAGTAACACCTTTGTAAGTACTAACTAAGCCCACAGAGATTCTATAATCGGACGTATCAGATTTATCTAAAGGAGCATTATAATATCCATTGTAAGTACTACCGTCTCCAACAATGAAGTCTTTATTAATATCCTAAAAGATAAAACAAATATAATTACATATACATATAATATACATACTTAACTAAATAATTTAACTTAATAAATGAATGAATTTTATCTTACATGTGGTTTTAATTCTGCAGCAATATAATAACTAAGATCATCAATTTTAGCAGCCTTATACGGTTGCAAAAGCTCGGCATCAAAACCGATCATTTGACTCTCATCACTGACAATAACTCTGTAAGCCGATACAGGTCCATTATAATTAACAGCAGGATGAATTTTAATCACAATTTGATTGTTCAGGTTTGATATTACAGTCGGAGGTAGAGGAGATGGTTCAGGCTCTAAAAATATCAATAAATAACATAATTTAATACAATTTTTATATTTATAATAATATATTTCTTGAGTCTAACCTCCAATTAAAGTTTCAGCTTGTGTGTATGTTGATTCACCTTCCATTTGGTGAAAATCAGCTCTTACACTTATGTTATAGATTGTACCGGGGTGCAGATTTAGAAGCTCGGTGGTAAATGTTTTGTTGGAGTATGTCCAGGAGATCGGTTCCAGAGGATACTCTAAATTAAATATATATATATATATATATATATATATATATATATATATATGTGTGTGTGTGTGTTTAATATTGTGTATATGTTATTTTCCTACCTGAGTTTGATTTCAAAGCACTGGCTGTCACAGTATAACCCGTTATAGGTACAGATTTTCTAGGGCTCCTCCAAGACAGTTTCATTTTAGTTTCTGTAGCATTATGCACTGTTAATAATTCCGGAGGACCTATACCACCCTCAAGATCCTGTCCAAATGATATATCCATCACAAACAAACAAATTAACACTGGCACTAACATTTGAGTCATTTTTATTATCGTTATAATCAATCATTTAATACTGTTTGTTAATAGATATGTGATACATTAAAATTTATAGTTATTGTTATTAATTTTTAATGTTTTTTGTTAGTTTTTTAAAATAAAAGTGAAAGGTGGTTTTAAAACTGGAAGACGGTTTGAGGTTATGTAAACAACAACGTAAACATGTCAAATGTCAAAATGGCGACGCCCATGCTGCACAAAAAAGGCGCGAGATTTAAATTTGAAAAAGATGCAGGATTGAAATCGGATTTTTGGCAAAAACAATCCTGCTTTTGTAAAAATTAATAATTGATTAAATAGATAAATCAATATATGATTCAATAAATAAATATAAATAATAATAATAGACATGTTAAATGTGAAAATGGCGACGCCCATGGAAATTGGATATATAAATGTATATATTGATTTATACATAATTATATATGGCCTAACTGCCTTAGTTTTCATGGAAATTAAATACATAAATGTATATATTGATTTATACATGATTATATATAGCCCAACTGCCTTAGTTTTCATGGAAATTGGATATATAAATGTATATATTGATTTATACATGATTATATATGGCCTAACTGCCTTAGTTTTCATGGAAATTGGATATATAAATGTATATATTGATTTATACATGATTATATGTGGCCTAACAGCCTTAGTTTTCATGGGAATTTGATATA